TTTATTATATAGGATATTTTTAAAAGGTAGACTTTTAATAACTGCTTTTATCACCAGGTTAGTCATACAGTTACAATAGTCCATATAGTTTTAAAAGTATGCAAAGATAATTTCCCCAATGTTAAGTTATACTATGGATATCACAGTATTTTTTTAATATTTTATAGGTTTTAAACTGTTGAAATGACACAATATTGTGAGTGAACTTAATTCCTATAACTGGCAAGTTCAGTCAGAAATATTAAAGAATTATGTGGATTTTGAAAGTCGAAAATAATTGCACATTTAAGATGTTAGGTTTTCCTTTTCTTTTAACATGAATTGTTCTTCCATTATTTTTATAGGCAGTTTTAGTGACAAGCGGTTGTGATAAAGTTTAAATTGAGTAGATTACTGATACTTTCTGCTTACAATCATGCAGTGGTTACCCTTCCAAATTAGACCATCTCTCTTCATATTTCACAGAATAATAATTCACTAAAAAACAACACTTGATACTTGATTATAAAGAATTTCAGAGCCTGTTTTAGCTTCTCTTTGATCCCTATTCAACCATTAGTAACAGTAACAGTAAGATATATTTGTGTGCAGCATTGCAGCTGAAGACTTTTCTCACACTTCACAGCCACCCCGAGATATCTGTTTTACACCGAGATTACTGAGGCAGGTTAGCTGGACAGGAGTCACACAAACAATAACTGGTGAAATAGAGCCTTAACTAACTCCAGTGTTTAGGTCACTACATTTTATCTATAAAGGTCTCCTTTTAGGGAGAATTGTTCAGTCTTACAATTTTTAACCTCAGTAACTCTAGTTGTTATCATTATGCCTTGCACATAATAGGCAATTATTAAAGAATAGTGGAAAGAAGGTAAGGAGAGAGGAGGAAGAAAGGAAGGAAGAAGGGAGGGAGAGAGAGGGAGGGAGGAAGGAAGGGAGGGAGTCAGTCAGTATGTGGGTTATGGGATTTGGAGAGTCTGGAAATGGTGATCTTAGTCTCCAAAATCTTAGTCCTGATCTAAATTGCCAAGAGAGACCAGGTCAAGAGTGAAACACCCCAAAGTGCATTCTCTGGTAACAAGTTACTGCTTTACCGTTATTTATACTTTCTTCCTTATAATGGAGTTGCAAACATCTAAGGAAAGTGTGTTCATGGAAAACATAAAAGGAATGAAGTTTTATTTTGCAATGCTCCTAATTGCTGTTCACTTAACACAGTGGTCCTCAACCTTCCTAATGCCGCGACCCTTTAATACAGTTCCTCATGTTGTGGTGACCCCCAATTTCATTGTTACAAATTAAACATAATTAAAGCATAGTGATTAATCACAAAAACAATATGTAATTATATATGTGTTTTCCGATGGTCTTAGGCAACCCCTGTGAAAGGGTCGTTCGACCCCCAAAGGGGTTGCGACCCACAGGTTGAGAACCGAACCGCTGACTTAACACTTACTAGAAGATGGCAGACTCCCAAATTAGGACAAGCTACTCACACAGCGGAGGAGGCAGGGTTTATTAAGGACTGAATAAGAGAGATCTACTTCACTTCCTTCTAGGGACACCTAGGAGGGTCTTCTTTTATATATTGAGATACATTCTATCTGCAAAACCTTTAGCTTCACCTCTAATAAATTCCTCTGAAAGTTCCCAGGAAGAATAGGGCTGCCACAGCTTGGTTTAAGGGGCTGCTTTGTCTGTTTCATTAATTTCTGGCAGAATTACCAAATGGTCTGACTTCGCAGTACAGCGTGTGTAAGTCAAAGAGAAAAAATATCACTGCAAAATTAATAGATCTGCTTAGGACTGAGTGTCCACTTAGTTCAACTAAGGAAAATTAAAAAAATAAAATAAACTGGCAAAAATGTGAAGGGAGTACATATCACCATCCCCATCCAGGCTCTTCTGACAATTACAACGTACCCCTGTGTTAGTCTGTTGGTTCAGAACAGCTGTACCCAGTCAGTTCACCCTTTGCATCATCTGGGAGTTCTCTGATGCTTTACATTTCCATGATCATTTTTGTTCTCACTGCTATTAACAGATTAAAGGGCCAAGTACGATAGTCTGTGACCTTATGAGTTAGTTGCTACTTCATTGTCTTCAGGAATTATTTTACTATCGGATAGCCCACTGCTAGTTTCAACTAATGATCTATGAACTGTTCAGATGAATGTGTCATAACTTGGAGCTGCAGAATAGCATTAAAAGGATAATCATTTCAAGGGGAAATATTTCTAAAAGACTAAAAATATAGGAATTATTTCTAGTATTAGCACACGTTGATTTATCTTGCCTATATGATAACACGAGATCAGAAAGTCCAAGGAAGAGGTATGGTGCATCTGTCTCTTGCTTATATCACTGCTAACCTTTATTGTTAGTTTACAACTTATATGGAGTGTCTGCTTTTGGGGGGATGTTGGTTTTGTTATTTTTAGCAAAAGCCTCAGGATTTGTTCTGAAAGAGCCTGATACAGTGTTCGCTGTGCAGCGTGGGTGAGGGGTAATCGGTAGAACCTGTTAGGGATTCAGACCGCTGGGGTCCACTTGAGGCTCTGAGTTCCTCCGCAGGGACGTGAGTGGTGACAGCCCAGGGCAGGTGGTCCCTTCTGCACTGTCACCTGGGGCAGCAAGGACACCCTGCCCAATTTGTCATCCCATGCAATCCTGTCAGCAGTTGAAAGTCTTAAGCACAAAACCTTTAACACTGAAGGCAAACTTCCTCCTAATATTTTTTAAAAAGCAATTGCCGTGAATGAAAATATTAACACACAGCACCTAAGTAAGCAGTTTTTGGCATTCAAATATAATATTATGTTAAATTATGTTATGTGATGTATAGACATGTTGTCTATAATTTTACAGACCAAATGTTGCCAATGACATCCCCTCATCCTGATAAAGATGATAAAATATAGCTGATAAGGGAAGATTAAGATCACCTCTCTCCTCACTCTCCCTGGTGCCTTTTGTTTGGCTTGTAGACCCGTGAAGGATACCTTGAAATGCATTTTGAAAAGAACTTTTTGTTTCAATAATAATACAAAAAATGAACCATTTTTAATTATCCATACTAATAACTCAAAAATAGCATGCATCTTTGAAATCCCCAAATTTTCATTATCAAGCTTTTATTTGATGAATGAAATAATCTACTTGCCCAGTATTATACCTGCTATTATTCTTTGAGTGCCAGTTTTGTGCCAGTTTCTTTACCTAGATTATTTACAATCTCTACAAATATTCGGTAAGAGAGCTATTGCCCCTGTTTTCTAAATGAGAAAATTGAGCACCTGGGTGGTTAAATGACTTGCTCAAGGACACAAAACTAGTAGAAGGTGGGATTTGGGCCAGATCTATCTGCAAAGCACAAGTCATTTCAGCTATCCTTGCTGTTACCCCCAAAAGCCATGCTGAGAACAGCAAGATGGCCCAAAACCAGGCCTAATTTTAAAATGGGAGAATAAGAGGCAGGAAATGTCTTGAGTGATTCAGAGGTTGATTAATCAGTGTTTCTATCAGGTAGAGTAAAAATCAAGCAGAGTTAGAGGAGAAGCTGTGTTAAAAGTCAAAACAAAATGTGGGCTTGTGAAGGAAATGCAAAAGAAAGGCAAAAGAAAATGGGAAAGTAATACACAACAGGTTAGATAAAAGTAAACAGTCATCTGAATAGCATATGCAGATAACAAAATAAGGATAAGGAAGACAAGGATTAAAAATCACAAAGAATGATCAGTAGACAAGAAAAGCATTTTGTCTAAAGGTGGCCTTTTTTTTTTCTGAGAGTAAATGGAATCTTCATTGGCTGGACTAGTGGTTTTGTTTTTTGTCCTGATACACGTTATGTACATTAGGTTGCTTTGAGTTGAGACTGAATATATTGCCTGTGTGTTCCCAGTGATGTGAGGAGACGTTCTGATACTAAATGCCCTTCGAGTGTCAGGACTGAGAACTTTGGCTTCTTTTAATCCATGCACCTAACTGTGGATGCATCACTGTGAAGTTTGATAAGTAAATATCAACCTTATTACATGAAGATATTAAAAACCATAATTAAGACTAATTTCTACTCATGATTCAAAATGGGTGAATAGTATTGTGCTTAGTCTACATATTTAGCAATATTAGACTGTCTTTCCATTTCCTCCAAAGTATGATGGCAGTTGGACATTTCAAAAAATATTCTGATGAAAAATTAGAATAGAGTGGAAATTTTGAAAATAATGCCCCCCAATCTATTATAATATATATATTCAATTAATATATAATTTTTCATAAGGAACAAATAAGCCACCTTGTATTTTTTTGCTATATATTATATCTAAAAAATATGGTCAAAATACATATAAAACATAATTTTTAAAATAAATAATTTTATCAATTAGTTGCCATTTAAAATTGAGTTGCATTGACATGACTTCATATCATTATCTTTGAGCCTTCCTGAAAATGCATTTTACTTAAAGACAATAGATCTGCTCTTTTTCAACTTCCTTAGAAGATAAACTACTGGTTATAAAAAATCTTGAGTCCTTTTCCTATTACTGTAATTAAATTAACTAATAATAGTTACCCTTTCATAATTGTACTAGAGGCCCAGTGCACAAATTTGTGTACAGGTGGACTCCCTCAGCTATCGGGCCAATTGGGCTGTCTCCTCCAGTCTTGGGGGAGGGACTTGAGGAGGTTGGCTGTGGGAGTGCACTGACCACTAGGGGGCAGCTTCTGCATTGAGCATCTTCCCCCTGGCGGTCAGTGGATGTCATAGCAACCAGTCAACCTATTGTAATGGTTACTTAGGCTTTTATATATATAGATCTGTTTAACTACACCCAGAAATTATTTAACTTCTTTGCTGTTGTTTATTAAGCCTGAAAGTTTAGTGGAGTCTGTTGCACATTCTTTGACCTCTTCCTCTTAAGAAATTTAAGATTAAAGGATGCCTAGAAAGGGGGAAGATAGCTCTAAACCTTTCCCCTTCTTTATCTTCCATCCAGCTACATCTACATCTACCACCGGAACAAGCCATCTTGTAAAATGTGCAGAGAAGGAGAAAACTTTCTGTGTGAATGGAGGCGAGTGCTTCATGGTGAAAGACCTTTCAAACCCCTCAAGATACTTGTGCAAGTAAGGAAAAAAAATCCTCTCTGTGGCTTATGTCCATAACTGCTTCTTTCAGATGACTCTGTGTCTCATGATGTACTGTTGCTTCTTTTTCCAATTTCATTGCATCCTGTTGAATAATGCTTTTTATTTGTTTTCAAAAGTTCACACCATTTGTCATCTCTGTTATATTCAGAATTGTGCTTTTTTATTTTTACGATTGTTTTTCCTTTTTGCCTTCATGTTTATAAAGTTGCTTTCTTCATGGTTTTCATCATTGTTACCTAGAAGAGATGTGCAAATATCATAGAGACCTCTAACTATTGGTACCTACTTCTCCATCCAATGTGTGAATTAAGCTGAAAGATAATGTTGTTTTTTACCCCAGTGATCACCAGCAAAACGAATAGGATAACGAAAAGATATAGAAGTACAGAAGATTTTTTACAAACATAGCTCTTATAGTAACTTGATAGTAACTTACTGTTCCATAACTATTTTTCTAAGTGGAATTTAGATTGATCTCGCTAATGATAAAAAAAAACCTGCATGTGTTTGGAAATGGATTTAGTGTTGTAGCAGCATTGTGTGAAGAAGGCAGAATGTTCTTTTATGCACTGCAGTTCTTTATAGATATATTTATAATAGCATTCTGTCCTATCACCTGAAGGAGTTGATGCACCATTCAGAAGTATCACAGTTATTCTCTCTCAATAGGCAGACTAAAACAATAATATTATCAGTACATTAAATATTTAAATCTTGTAGTTAATATTAACAGGTCTCATTAAAAAGCACGTGTTTATTGAGCCATGCATTTAAGTTAAACTCTTGATATTTAGGCCACATGTTGTACAGGGAAATTTACGCTTGCACTGAAATGATGACCAATAGTGGAGTCCCACTGTTCTAAAGTAGCACTGCTTGTCCTACATGAGAAAAAAACACGCCATCATAAACATTGCCTTCTGCTCCAGAATATTAGCTTGTGACTTAAGTGTTGACAAAGAAGGGCGAGTTTGTTAAAGAGCTAATAAAGTAATTAGCAAAATGGGGGGGAAAAACCCACGAAATTATTAAGAAGGCCAATCCCACACATCATGTAAGTAGTATACAAATATTTATGTGCCAGTTCTAAAAAAACCTGCATTGTTTGTAAGTAATAAAGTACATCTCAAAAGACACATGTTTTACAATCATAACACCGGACAAAAATGCCACTTTGTAAGAAATGTTTCACTGTTCCCTGTGCTGTTCTAGAGGTGGGCTGTCTGCAGAGTGTCTCATGTAACCTCATGAACAGGTACTTCCCAGAACTGCTTTTTCCCCTCAAAATCTTTTCTTTTAAGAGTAGAAGCAGTTCTGGGAGAAGACAAGTTGTGTTGGTTGTATAGCTGATTTTATCCATCAGACAAGTTATAAAAGTCAAAATCACCTGTCGGAGTGAATAAAAGAGTAGGAATCACCTCGATTGTTAAACATCTCTTTGATAGAGATAGGTAATGATTATAAGCCAAAATAAAGTTAATAGGTAAAAGTCTTTTCAAAAATTTAAAGCAAGATAAAAATGAAAGAATGTGTAGAAAAATATATTTCAGGTTTGAATTATTTCACATGACTATCAGTGTTTATTGTTTTAAAATTAATCTTAGAGTTTTACTTTTTGATCAGTATATTCAAATCTATATACCTAGAGCAAAGAATTAAAATGGTTCAGTTTTAGTCTTTGGTTCTGACGACTTGGTGTACATACAACACAAGCATGGCACTCCTATACTTATCATAGTGAGTCAGGAGGCATAAATTTTAGAGTTTTCTTTAAGGTTTTCTCAGATCAAAATAAAAAATACCAGAAGCTGAGAATTATAATCTATAAAATATGAGTTCTATTTATTATATGGGGACATCTTGTTATTCTGTACTAATCTCAGGCATACAATCCAATCATATTTTAATAAATCTCCTTGAAAAACATTTAAATTATAGTTCCTTAAGTTCTTTTCCTTTTTAAACAAAGTGCTCATATTATCTATGTCTCATATTTTTACTCCTTTAGAAAAACATCTGAGACCACTATATTTTAATTATAATAAAGAAACATGATCATTTTTCATCAGAGCCTTTGCAAAGATTTACAAGCTGAGCGAGTACATGTGATCGTTTCCAAATACCTCTAAGGAGCCAGTGCAGCTATTTTCCACATGTTAATTTCAGCGATTCTGCAGCCCTCCCACGTGCTATACAAAACATGCAATCACGGAAGTGTTGTTCGTTTGTTCCACTTTGGTATTGTGCCAACAACTGCAATTTTTTCACCTATAGTTTTTCACCTATAAATTTTAAGCTCAATCCAGAAAAAAAAAAATCCAGAAACAAATGCTTGTTATTTCTCTAATAATTATTAAAGCAGCAAACCGTGACTGAACACCCTGTATCCCCCAAACTCATTGTCTAAGCCGTGGTCGGCAAACTGTGGCTCATGAGCCACATGCGGCTCTTTGGCCCCTTGAGTGTGGTTCTTCCTAAGCCTTAGGAGTACCCTAATTAAGTTAATAACAATGTACCTACCTATATAGTTTAAGTTTAAAAAATTTGGCTCTCAAAAGAAATTTCAATCATTGTACTGTTGATATTTGGCTCTGTTGACTAATGAATTTGCCGACCACTGGTAGTGGGTTATGTTATTTGCTAGTTCTCAGCAAATTGGCTTCATTCTTTGATTTTGATTTTTTGTAATTAGAATGTCTCAGAAAGTGTTTAAGCTTATTACTGGATCTTGTTGGGAAGAAACTTTTTGATGCTTATGATTTTGATAAGCTCCCCCTCCCCCTCCCCCCTGCTCTTTGGACCATGTGTTTACTGAGGCATCAAAGCAAGCCAGTACCTTAAGTGAAGTATTGGAATATAGTTAACACCCAAAATATTTCAGGCCTTTTGTTAAATCAAAGTGTGTCTTTAAAATTTTATAGCATTAAAAATAATCACAACTCAGAATTGAAAACCAGGACACATAAGATACCATGTCTGAGGATAATCTGTTGTAAACTAGACCACTTGACTAGAAGCAGAAAACATGGAAATGTTGCTTTGGCTCATCACAGTCTTGAACGTGAAGCCAGTTCATAGTTTCCATATGGACCATCTGTCTATAGCAAAACATTGCTGAAGCATGAGCTACGTCATTGAAAATCAGCTTTACTCCTGCCTGAAGCCATGACTCAGAAGCACCACAGGCAGGGGCGTTTCCAAGTGGTCTCTCTGGTCACCTAATCCACGGTTGTCTTCTTGGGCGTTGAAGCTGAAGACTTTACAGCAAATCCCTTTTGTCTCTCCCGTTAGCACAGGGTGTTCCCAATGGATTCCCCATAAAACAGTTAAACACTTCTCTGAGGGGAGGTTTGCTGGTTACTTGGCTTTGCCCCTGGGGACTGTGGAAATTTAAGTGGTCATTTTCATCTTTTATATTTCTCTTCCCTCTCTAGTAATTTAAAATTTATCCCGAGGAAAAAATAGTGACTATTATATGAAGATGAGAAAAGAAATGTTTCATCCTTTACCCTTTGATGCCCTGTGTAGGCATATGGTTCAAAGAAATAAGACAGTTGACCATGACATTGCCCAATTTTTCTCCAACTACCCCCCCTCCCCCACCACCTCATTCTTGTATGTCTGTTTTTCCAAACAGTTTTAGTAGAGAACTATTTTGGAATATGTTGATGTGATTTTTTTAAAAAAACCTAGAAATGATTTCATACCAGACCACATTTATAAACCCATTATGTTGTCCCATGGACAGATGCGGCTTCCCCATGAGGGGACTAGAGTTTTTACTACCAATTTTGGTAAACAGTCGTGAGCCCTTTCACTTCAAGTCCCTGGACAGTATCTTAATTCATAACATAGAGCTAATATGTTCTCCAAATTTCTTCCCAGGAAGTTAGTGAAATTAAATGAATTCATTTCTGCTAAAGTACTTCTAACTCTGGCAAAAGCACGATTTTTTTTTCTTATAATAAAAAGTACATGGTAGTATTACATTCTCACTGTAGACATTGGAAAAATATAAACACCTGCCTTAACAGACTGTATTATCATATTTAATCCCCAATTCCTCATCTTATTTAACACTAGCAGCTTTTATTTGGTTCGGCAGGGCCACCAGCTAGCTTTATGGCTTTGCATTGGACAGATCCTGCAAAGCTCTGTTCATTATAGTCCTTTTATGCAAAAAAAACCCCCAAAAACAAAAAGCAACAAGTCTTGGGAAGATGGGAGGTGTCTTCAAACATGCATGAGCTTATGATGTTTTATAGTTAGTTTTTATGAAACTATGTAGTATATATAATGGCCTATGTTGTATCATTATAGGAGACAATTATGAAAAATATATAACTGTAGATTTTAGGTCACAACAAATGTTAAATTAAACTCAATAAATGAAATATTAATTAACATCTGTTTATAGAACAGCTACATCTATGCATGGTCTCTTTCCCAGAGGACTTAGTCTGTTTAGGAAAATTAAGTAGCTGAAATAGTGAATCAATTAGAGTGAATACATCACAAGTGGCACTGTGCTGATTATTATGGTAACGAGAATTTAAAGAAGGAAAAGAAACGATTGGAATAAGGTGGAGAAGACTTTATAAACGTGGCCAGTATTTATGGAGTCTTTTTTATATAGCAGATAGGCACTGAGATTGCAGTAATGGTGTCTGTGAGACCCGGTGGCATGCACATCTAAACCAGCAGCTCCATTCTGAGAAGTAAAACAAAACACTGAGTTAGACATTGAGCCAGTTTCTGAGCCCCAGAGGCCAGGTGGAGGATTTGGGACACTGATAGCTAGTAGGGAGTCATAGCATGTTCTGGAGCAGGACAGGGACACCATAAACACAGCAGATGTTTAGAGAAGATTTCCGCACAGGCTAGAGAAAGTCAAGGACTAGGTAAAATGGGGAGAGAAACTAAAAAACACTAGCTAAGGTTAAAGTTTCATAAAATCCTGGCATCATATTGATTAA